AAAATATGAACCTTTCATTACCCATAATAGGGGCACTTTAATAACATATTAAATTTTATATTTTGTCAAGAATATATGGCTACTTTTGATTAGCCATCAATGGAAAAAGAACCTTTTTCCCCACAGAATGGTGTAGTTATGACATCTACCAGCAGGTGCTAACTCTGCATGCTAACCAGTCAAACCTAATAGAGAAACCACAACATTTGGCTTCAGTGACTGGAGTGATCAATAATGATGTATATCATTATGGCTCTCTATATACTGGTATTTTCTATTTGTACAGCTCAGACTGCTGTCATGTGTAGGTTTTCACCTTCTGGGTGTTTGTAAAAGTGCGTGATGTCTACACGTTGATCTGAGCCGATAGCTTTGGTGCTGATGCAGTGACCTACTGCGTTCTTCTCAACCTGAATTACAGCGAAGTCTTCATTCGCTTCACGCTGCCAGTAGACTTTATCGCTGTTCACCTACAACGCAAAGAGCCAAACAGTAAGTGCTCCGGAGTTGTGCGTCTGTCCTTTTGCATTCTAATTCAGTTCCTATATTTGAAGGAGGATCCAGAACTGTAATGAGTTTAAGGGTAGAGAATTATATATCTGACAGAAAGGTAGATGTAATGCATTAACATACTCCAGCAAAAAGTAAGGGCGCGTCATGCTGAACCTGCCCGCTTCGTATTGCAGCAACAGAAATGGGGCAGTGAAGATTGTCCTGGCTGGTCAGTTGAGGAGTGGAATCAACCACCTGCCAACCTTCGAAACCAGATGGCAGGTCTGGCCGAGTCATCCAGGCCTCATTCCACACATGGTAGTTCCTCCATTGAGAGAAAAAAGAGATAAAGAAATACATACAGTACAACAATCATTGCATAACCATTGCCATAAAAATGAACGTTTTGACAAATGCTGACGCCATGTAAGCTTACCAGACTGAATAACGGTTTAGATGCTCAATCGGCTCAAATTTCTCATCAAAATAAACATCAGCTGTCAATGAAACATCAGTATCATGAGCAGAATTGAAGTTTGAGACTGGACGAGTAGGAATGCCCAAACATCTCAAAACTGAGGACAGAGAGATTGTGAGAAGAAAGAATTTAGTCAATACACGTATCTAAACACACAAGCAATTCTTATTGGACTGTTCACTTTTTTCTCAGTCCAATATGTTTAACGTCTTACTTGTGTTGGTGACTCCAGCAAAGACCCAGCACTGACCATATCTGACAGGTTCTCCTCCACTTTTGTGGTACTGTGTCAGGACGGCACTGCTGCCACACCAAGCAGTAGGAGAAGTTCCGTCATTGTAGGTACTTGACCAGCTACCCATCATCACACCACTGTTGTCACTGGCATTAATCTGTGACAAAGACGATGTCAAAATGCTATTCTGCTGTCTGCTAACTTCCCAAAACATCCTTGTTCTCATTATCTAATCAGGTTGTCTAATCCCCAAAAATCTAAAGCTTGTTGATTAAAAAAGGCTGGAAAACTCACAAATGCAGATATCACTCTGACCACATTAACAGGGTCTCCCCATCCTGAGCAAGGCCCACCACTCTTCTCCAACACAAAGAAGCACGCAGCCAAGACTCCTTCATCAAACTAAGAATAAGAGATCACAGAATAATAATAATAATAATAATAATAATAATAGAGAAATTTGTTTGCATGCACTTTTATATGAATATGAATGAAAGTTTGCTTCTTACTTGACCAAAGTTCCATGTTCTGGAGCCAATCTGATGTTTAGTTCCATAGTAGATTCTGCCCATGTCATTCAGCACATACTCAACTCTCTCCGCCTCATCACTCAGGTACACACCGTCATCTGATAAAGAGGCATTCTTAAATATTTAACAGTGCTTTCTAGTTTTTCCTAATTTTTGTTCATTTTCAGGCTTCAGATGTGATTTAAAAGCCCAATAAAATGAAAATAGAATGCAATATCATGTGCACATACATTTACACCAGGGGTTGAACAGCATGTAAATATCATAATCAGTTGAAGTGACCTTTCCTCCTGGGCAATTGGTTACGATAGTAAGTTTGTATTGTCCAATAGAAGCTGTTGACTGAGAATAAACACACAGTTTGATTCGGTTTTGCATTTGTTCAACAATCCTGGCTTCCCAGCAGTCTTTCTTGAATTCCTTCACTAATGGAACAATCGTGAGCATCTCGCTCCATGTCGATGGGATATTACCTGAGAAACACACACAAGAAGAGGAAATGATGGAGAGGATATGCCTTAAAGGGTCCTATTATGCTTTTTCACTTTTTGAACTTTAGTTAGTCTGT